GTAAGTTCTTGCTGTAATCTTCACATAAGCAGATTGCCAGGTGGTTTTCCCACAGAGCCACTGGGTGGATTCGAGCAGCCTTTTGGTTAGCAGCCAAGCCCTCAGCGCCTGAGCCACCAGGGTAGTTATTGTGCATCTACTCCTCACTTATCAACTAGCTTATTATCCGACACCTCGCATCTGTGACAACTTTGAAAAAATTCCCAGGTGGTACCTCTGATGGTCCAGTCCCCATGTGGGGTCACAGCTGGGTCCAGGGCACCCTCTGTGGGTCGCCTTGAACAAAATACTGGAGGCCACACGAGGGATGGGGGCCAACCAGCTGTGGGATGCCTCCTCCCTTTGTCCATGGCATCTCAGTCCAGTCATGGAGGGCACAGGGTGACAACAGGACAATGCAAGGTCATGAGCCAGCAGGGGAGGCTGGGCAAGGGCCCAAAGATGCTGGGGAGGCCAGTGAGGAGGCAGGAAGTGGGGGGAGATGGGAGGAAGCCACATGGAGCTGTGGGGCCAGGGCACATGAAGGATGAGCAGGGTCCCTGCCCAGGGCAGATGAAGGGCCAGCAGGGCCCCCGCCCAGGGTGCAAGAAAGGCCAGCAGGGTCCCTGCCCAGGGTGGGTGGTAGGAGGCAGTGGGCAACACTTGAGCACCACCAAGGCCCCCAGCCCCTGTGGGCTCTGTGGTGGTGGGGAAGGGGGCTCACATGCCCCGTACATCATGAAACCAGTCAGGGGAGTCCAAGGGGCAGTGAGTGACTAGCAGGGACAGCACCAAAGATGGAGTGCAGCCCCCGACTTCCGCATAACCTGATTTCACATGAAGACTTTGGTCTTTGGAGTCTTACCATGTGGATAGTTGAGGAGTGGGTGTTTACAGATGTGAATGCACACCAGGTGTCATGGATTGAATTGTGTTCCCGAAATGTGTGTCAATTTGACTGGCCATGATTCCCAGGACTGTGTGGTCCTCCATCTTCTGATCTGATGAAATCGTTCTATGTGCTGTAAATCCTAACCTCTGCCTGCAGTTATCGAGGAAGGAACAAGTTATGTTAAAGAGAATTAAGACTATGTTTGTTCATGATGTGGGATTAGGTCACAGCCCTGATAAAACCTAAGGGGAGTTTCCTTGGGGTGTGGCCTGCATCACCTCTTATTGGACAAGAGATATAAGGAGAGAGAAGCAAGCAGAGAAGGAGGGACCTCCCACCAAGAAGGAAGAGCTGGAGCAGCGTGCATCTTGTGGACCTGGGGTCCCTGTGCTGAGAACCTCCTAGACCCAGACAAGAGGCATGGAGATCTCCAAGGGAGGCAAGGCCCACAGATATGGAAAGGAGACATGGACCTTCTCTAGAGCCGACAGAGAGAGAAAGCTTTTCCCTAGCTGGTGGCCTGCATTCAGGCTTCTAGCCTCTAAGCTGTGAGAGAATAAATTTGTTTGTTGAAGCCACCCCCTTGTGGTATTTCTGTTATAGCAGATAGCTAGCTAAGATACCAGGCAGACTTTCCCTGTGTAGGACCTGAGAGTAAAGACTTTGGGGTTTGTGGGCTCTGTGGCTCCCTCTGCCACTGTGGCTGAAACCTGCTGGGGACAAAGCAGAATGAACAGGGGTGGCTGTGGGCCAAGGGAGCCTTTGCTTGTGGGCCAGGTTTGGCCGCCTACACCAAGTGTCTTTGATGTAGAGTAACCAGAACCCCCAGACATTTCGGGGAGTGGGGAAAGGAAAATTGTACAACCATTTTACAAAAGCGTTTGGCAGCTTAATACAAACATAAACTACCTCCACCCCATGACCCAGCAAGTCCACCACAAGGTATCTGCCCAAGAGAAATGAGAACCTGTGTCCACATGGACTCAAACACGAAGTCTGGTTCCTGGTACCTTGATTCCTAATCACCAAACACTGGAAGCAACCAAGCCCATCAGCAGGAAATGGACAAACACATTGGGCTTAACTTTATTCCGTCAAAAGAACACAACTCAGCAATGAAGGCAGAACTGTTGACCCGCATAGCGACACAGAGGGTCTCAGCAGCACTGAGTGCCATGAGAGAAGCCCACCCGTGACGCCTGGAGCCCTCGTGGGGCCGAAGTCAGCTGAGGTTGTCACTGGAGTAGGAACTGACAGGAACGGACTCGAGGGAACTTTCTGGGGTGACGCTAATGTCCTACATGGTGACTGGGGTCATAGGTCAAACGGTGGATCCAAAGAAGTTATACTGACATCCCGCCCAGGATCTGTAGACCAGGACCTGTAAACAGGACCCTGTTTGGAAACGGGGCTCTCTTCTGTTATGCTGATGAGGTCACACTAGAGGAGGGTGGGCCCTAACCCTACTCAACTTGAGTTATGAAAGGGTCAGACAGACAGACTCACAGGGGAAGATAGACGCCATGTGAGATGCACCACAAGCCTGGAGTGCCGAGACTTGCTGGCAGCTAGACAGTGAGAGGTGAGGAAAAGACCTTTTCCAGAGCCCAGCCCTGAGTTCAGACTTCCATCTCCAGAACTGTGGCACGATGTGTTTCCGTTCGGTGAAGCCCCGCACTTTGCATCATTTGCCTTGGAGGTCACCGGAAACCCAGGCAAGTGGGATCAGGCTCTTTGGACGTCAGCGTGAGTGGGGGACTTAAGATCCACGCAAATTTTATCTCAGTGAGAAAACACTGGAGGCAGATCCACTGAAATTGGCGTGCTGGGGAACTGGTCTCATAGCAAGACGGACCATTGATTTCCTTTTTTGGATTTATTTTTGAGTCTCAAAAAAATTTTAAAAACTAAGAGAGGGGAGTCTTCCTCCTGGTTAAGCAGCCAGTGGGACACTGCCGCCAGCCCCCCGGCATCACACTTGACCCGGAGAAGCACAGCTGCTCTGAATCTGCCTGCTCCCAGCAGCTGCCAGCACATCTGGCAGCCGGGCCCAGTTATGCAACATGGAGCTAGAGACCTACCTCTGAGTCCTGCATCCCCCTCCCTCCTCCAAGGCTGGGTGTCCTGGGAGCGACCCCGCTTGCCTGGCTCAATCCCCACACCCTGAGGGACAGCCCCAAGGAAACCAGAATGGATCAAGCTCACCTGATGGAGTGCTCCATGCCCAGGGTGCTGGGCCTGGGGGACACTGGGCCCAGGGGATGCTAATGGGCCAGTGGGATGGGATTGAGGGGGCAATGGGTCCAGGGGCTGGGGTAGGAGGATGCTGGGCTGGGGGTCCTGGGCCTGGGGAACGCTGGACATGGGGCACTGGGTCCTGGGGGTGGGGTGAGAGGGACTCTGGACTAGGGGCCCTGGGTCCAGGGGAGGGGGAGATGCCAGGCTGGGGGCCCTGGGTCCAGGGGAGGGAGTAGGGGACGCCAGGCTGGGGAGCTGGCCTGCCCCTGTGTCTCTCCTCTGCCCTTGCCATCTGTCCAGTTGGGCCAGCAGATGGAAGCCCAGCACTTGGAGACGGAGGCTCCAAGAACCACAGTGACATCACTGGGGTGAGAGGTCCGAGCCCTGTGGCGCCCGGCCTCTGAACCCCTCTGGATAGAACCGCCCCCAGGCACTGTGAGGGAGGCCCAAGTGGGGCCCCTCCTGGGTTCTGCTGGCCCCAAGAGCATGGCAGTGGGGCTGGAAGCTGGGGGTTTTGTGAACCATGGTACCCTCACTCTGCGCTGTTCCCAGGAGTCCCTGTCTACCCATAGGGCCGCAGCTGCAGAGGGCTCTGAGTCCACCTGGGCAAACCGCCCTCAGGGTCTGTACTCTGGCCACACCACGGCCACCAGGACGGGGCAGTTCTTCCTCAGTTTCCACAGGGGACCCAGGTCTCCTGACCGTGTAAGGAGCAGGTACCACACAGGGGTGTTGGGGCCCAGAAGGGTCTGGCCTCTGCTCCACAGTCCCTCTGCCCATGCAGGTGAGGCTGGGGGTTCTCCAGGCCCCTTGGAAGTGCCTGCTGTAGACCCTTCCCACACCACCTTGTGACCCAGAAGGATGGCAAGCTTCTGGACTCCTTGGGGTTGAGGGTCCTGCCCTGTGAACAGACTTGCAGGGGTGGGATTTCCCTTCCACAAAACCCCTTCCTCAGGCCACAGGACACAAAGGTTGGTTTTGACTAACTTACCCTCAACAGACAAAAGCCCTGCTCAGCCACTCACCTCTAAGGGGCAGAAGAGGGCCAGTCTGAGGACACTGTAGGCCCCAGGCCAGCAGAGAGGCTGAGGCCAGGCTGGGAGGTGGTGGAGGAGTGATCAGATCTCAACTCAGGTGCCTGGGCCTCCAGACCCACAGATGAGAAGTACTCAGGGCAAGGAGGGGCCAAGGCCTCCTGGACCCCAAGGATGAGGGGTACTTGGGGCAGGGAGGGGCAAGGCCTCCAGACCCATGGATGAGAGGTACTCGGGGCAGGGAGGGGCGAGGCCTCCAGACCTGGGAATAAGGAATATTTAAGTTGGGATGGGGGAGCGGGGAACCAAGGCCTCCTGGACCCAAGGAATGAGGGGTAATCGGGGCAGGGAGGGGCAAGGCCTCCTGGACCCTAGGATGAGTGGCATTTGGGGCATGGGGTCAAGGCCTCATGACCCCTATCTGGGCAGAACCACCAAGGGGCTCACAGGAACCACGGCCCGGTCTACATGGTAGGAGACCACAGGCACCATGTTCCAGACAAGCTTTAATGGGACAGACCCAGGATGTCACGTGGTGGACAAGCTTTCCAGCCCACACCCCCTCCTGAGCTAGTGTCCTGGCTGTGGTGCCATGGAACCAGCAGAGAGGGACTGTCCCTCCCAAGGCAAGCTCAAGGCAGAGATGGAAGTGAGGGTGATGTGGCAGGTGACACACCTCAGGTCTGGGAGTCTGCAGATAGCCAGGTGCTGGCTGACAAGTGCCCTGTGCCAGGCGGGCCTCCCAGGCAGCCCTAGATCATGCCAGCCAGCCAGGGTGGCAGGAAGAGGCCGATGGTGCCCAGCAGGCAGACCATGACGAATACCCAGAGGAAGATTCGGTCGATGACCATGGCCACGTACTTCCAGTCCTCCTTCACCTGCAGGGAGAGGAGATTAATTGGCCACCACTGTGGCCTCACAGTGGCCAGAGAACCTTCTGGAACTGGGTGCTACAAGGGGCAGATCCTCTGTTCCCCACCCTCACCCCTCAAGGCAGCCAAGGTCACCATGCATACCTGTGCTGAGGTGATCTGAGGGCACAGAGGAGTCACCTGTCCTAAAGTCTGGGCCCAGGGAGCACTTTTTGTGAGGAAGGGTGGACCTCTCTCACCACAGAAGCCGCAAGGGGAAGGAGGGTGGTCCACACGAATGCTCAGTCAGTGTGAAGGCTGGAGGGGCACATGAGGGGCTGGTGCACCCCTCTGTTTATGGCATCCATATACAGACTGAGCAAGCATACCTGTGGCCCCATGGACCACACGGTGCCGCAGGAGCCAGGACTGAGGCTGTGCCCACCTGACCACCTTCCCTGCAGGTGGCCCGAGCTCACATGAGGTGGAGAAGACCAAAGCCCTTTGGATCAGCCCAGGGTCCAGAACATTGTGTGTCTTCCACACTGAAATCTGTTAGCGTGTTAGGCTGGGAGGCGGACATGGTAAAGACCACTGAGGCCACTACCCCTTTTGCAGATGGGGTAGTCCCCCCAGTTTAACCAGAGCCTGCCTTTGAGGATGGTCTTCAAGGGGGACCCTGGGTGGGCACGGCTGTCTACCATGAGTGATCAGAAGCGGACGCAGCCAGCATGGGCTCAGGCCACTGCAGATGAGAGAGTCTGCAGGCCAGGCAGGGGGCTGGACTGGGCTCCCAGTGAGAGGGCGTCAAGGGGCCTGTGGTAGTAGTTCAGGTTAATGTGTCAGCTTGGCCTGGCTGAGTGGCTGGGCAGCTGGATGTAGTATTCCCCATGATGAGACTGGTAATCAGCTCCATGGTGGAATCTACTGTGAGCAGCTGAGTAGCTGCCTTAGGGATGTGGTCTGCTTCCCATATATAAGCAGAAGCATTGAGGAAGGTCTCTGAGCTTTCTGGCACCCTTGGACCCTGGATGTAACCGAGTCTTTATTTAGCAGCCTGCCATGTTTCCCGCTTATCTTGGGACTGTCTCTGGACTTTAACTAGTGGCCTGCCGTGTTTGGTAACACTGGGACTGTGCCATTTTATTTGTCGACCTTGGGCTTGTCAGCCTCAGCAGCCAGCAGCTGTCTGAGTAGACACCTCTAGCTCCAGTGGGCTGGGAGCAGGAGGCAGAGCTGAAGCCCAAGGTCGAGGGGCTTCCACCCAGCTGCTAGAGCTGGCCCTCTGAACTCAGACGTCTAGCCCCCTGAACTGTAAGAGAACGAACTCCTGTTTGTTCAGCCTTTCACCCGTGCACTTCTGTTAGGGCAGCAGAGGTAACCAAAACAGGGCCAACTCCCCAGAGGAGTTTTCTGTGCTGGAGTTTTTACATAACCTTGGGCATCCCAGGGGTCGTAGACCACACTGAAACAGCGTGTGGATTTGAGGGGAGCCTGCGAGCAAACAGGGTCTCTGATAAAGCGTCTTGCTGGCCCCTCTGTCCCCAGGACAGGCTGAGAGGCTGCCTCGCTGCCCTGGTACTTTTCCCTCTGCTTTGATCCTCACGGCTCATGTACTTGGCGGCCACCTCCCTTCCAACATGAGCGTGTCACAGACCAAAGCCTCCAGCCCTGAGGGCGTTCTTGTGAAGTTAGCGCTGCTCCCTGGCGGCTGGACACGCCAGAGCCAGAGCCAGCTCACTGCAGCCTAGCCACAGCCGCGGTCTGGGCACGGAGAGGAGGCCGCCGGGCCTGCACCTGAGATGCCTTGCTGTGCCCTTGACGTTTTCACTAAACCTCTAAAGGGACAAGTCACACTGGCAGCTGCTCCCAGACATGTCATGTCATGAGACACTTGGAGACTCCACCCCCTCCGGTGCCCCTGGACACGCTAGCTTGCAGGGAGACTCTCTGGGGTCTCCTGGACCCCTCGCGGCCCACAGCTGGGCTGGGTTGTCTCCGACTCTGCTCCTTCCCTACCCTGCCCAGGCTCCTCAGCTGGGTCATATCCAAACTCCGGGCTTTCCTCTTTCAGCAGCCCCCCAGTCTTCCAGCCGGAAAGAGACCAGGGATCAGTGCCCAGAGGAGCGGGTGCAGTCTAGGACCCACAGGCTGAGGTGCTCAGAGGGAGAAATGCCACCATGGCTACCATGGCCTCTCTGGCAATCAGGAAAGGAGAGACCCCAGCTCGACATTCCCAGCAGCCAGCATGGGTGCCAGGATGACTCCCTGAGTGGCCTGTTTGTGGCAGCTGTGTGTAAAAGGTGGTGGTGGCACCCCTCCCGCCCCTGGGAGCCCTCGACCCCCTGGAGGCTCCCTCTGGGTTGCCCACCCACCACCTGCCCCAGCTCTGCCCTGAAGCAGTGGCCACTGGGGGTTCAGGGGGGTGATGGACACAGCAGACCGGGGCTCAGGAGTCTGCAGGGGAGCCACTTGGGACATCCCAACACCAAGCAGGCGGGGTGCTGCCATGTCCGCTCACCCCTGGGCTGAGGCAGCACCGGATGCAGAGCAGAGCAGAGTCTTACCGAGAAGTCCGTGTCCTCCGCCTTCAGGTGGTCTGCAATGTACTGGACGCCCTCCACAGCCTGGGTCAGGGCCGGCGACAGTGGCAGACGGCGGCATGGCACCTTGGTGCTAAGGGCCATGAGCGTGGCGTCAGGGGAGGAAGCGGCTGGCTCTTTCTTGCACTTGCATTTGCAGGGGGAGGGCTGATCGAGAGGCGCAGGCTCAGCGGAGTGAGTGGACACCGGGGAGCTGGCCACCTGGCCATTGGCCTGGCTGCAGCCATCATCTTGGGAGATGCAGTACTGGACACTGCGAGATCGACACCGGACGCTGCCTTCCTCCACCCTGCTGGGGCTGGGCACGTGCTGGACGCTGAAGGACCTGGCCTTGGCCAGCCTCGAAGTCTGGGCACTGCTGGGCAGGTGGTCAGGGCCAGATGTGGGGCTGGCACTGGCCTTCTTGGCCTCTGGGGGGTTGAGAGTGGGGGTCTGCTCCGAGGGTGGCTTGACTGGCTCCCCCAACGAGACACAGAAGGAGGCGGTGGGTGATGGGTCCCTGCTCAGGAGGCCGGGCTGGCCCTCGGGCTCAGGCCAGAAGCGTGGGGCATTGGCCATCTTGTGCATGGACTCAATGAGCCGTCGACAGTTGTCCTTGACCACAGATGGCCGCTTCATGAAGAGCAGGCGAGGCACAATGTCCAGGAAGACCCTGCGCACCCAGGCAGGCATAGTGTGCGTGCGCGGCGAGCGGTGGTGCACGTTGAGCACAAACACCGTGATGATGATGGAGAGCGTGACGAAGACCATGGTGAAGAGCAGGTACTCGCCGATGAGCGGGATGACCAGCGAGGTGGAGGGGATGATCTCGGTGATGAGCAGCAGGAAGACGGTGAGCGAGAGCAGCACGGAGATGCACAGCGTGACCTTCTCGCCGCACTCGGAGGGCAGGTAGAAGACCAGCACGGTGAGGCAGGAGATGAGCAGGCAGGGGATGATGAGGTTGATGGTGTAGAAGAGCGGCAGCCGCCGGATGATGAAGGCGTATGTGATGTCAGAGTACACCTCGGCGCAGCACTCGTACTTCTTGGTGTTGTAGTTGCCCACAGCGTCCACAATCACCCACTCGCCACTCTCCCAGTAGTCCAGCTGGTCCACCCTCCGGTGCATGCTCACCAGGTCGATCTTGGCCTTGTCATACGTCCAGGACCCAAACTTCATGGTGCAGTTCTGCTGGTCGAAGGGGAAGAAGGTGACGTCGATGCTGCAGGAGCTCTTGTAGATGGCCGGGGGTGTCCACTGGACCCGTCCGTCGTGGAAGAGGTGGGCTTTGGTCAGGTGCGTCACCGCAAAGTCCCCGTCCGCGCTGGCAGGGACAGGGAGAAGCCAGGGCGTGAGACCCCTCCCCCCAAGGCTCCAGGCCACCTGCAGCCCCTCCACAGTCCCATGCACCTGCACACCTGTGCAAGCCTGCCTCCCAGGTGAGCAGAGAAAGGTTTACAGCTTTGACTGGGCTCGTGACACATAGGGTGGCAGGGCACAGAGTCAGACAGCTGGACATGTGACCCCGGCCAGCAAGTGACCTCTGTGCCTCAGTTTACCAACCTGCCAGAAGCCTCATCACTCAGTTTAGGAGCTCTCAGTGCCTGGTTAGCAGGACTGGCACGCACCACTCTGGACGCAGCACACGGGCATCGAACGCAGCTTCCCAGAAGGTTCCTGTACCTCCGCTGAGCTGCTTGTCCTCTGTGGCCTGCCTTCTCCTTGAACCTGCCCTCCACGTTCTCTCAGACCACCCTCCCTGGTAGCTGCATCCCTCCCACTGCCCAGGGGTCCCACCACCTCACCCCACGATGCACCTAACCTGGCTGCCACCCTGCTCAGCCTGCAGAGGGTAGACCACTCCTTGCATCTCAGCATCCCGGGCACCCCTCGTTTTCAACCCTCTTCTCTGTGGCCAGTGCAGCTTCCTCGTGGCCTCTGTCCCATATGCCCTCGACCCCACAAGGCTCCACCCAGTTCCAAAGGGCTAGCTCAGAGGTGGCCGCCTCCCCAGGGCCCGGGCAGAACCAGCCACTCACCCCTTGGAGTTCTGTCCCTATAGGCTGACCATGGCACTGGTCACTGCAGCACTCATGAGCCAGGCTGGCCCCATCCTGGCCAGGACTCATCCCGAGTCAGCCATGAGGGCCTGCAGCCCTGCCCTACAGTCTCCCGGTGCCAGCTGGCCCCTGTCAGCCCTCAGCACTAACGCTGCCCATCCACATGGTATTGTGCTCACACTGCAGGCTCCACCGCATCTCAGTGAAGCAGGACGGGGCCTTCCAATTCCACTGGCCCTGAGCAGGGGCAGGGGCACCACAGACGTTAGAGCAAGCCCCTCCTTCCCCACCTCTGGCTCCCCAAAACCAAAAGTCAAACCCGGCCCTTCCGAGGCCCAAATTAAAATCGTCCACTGGGTAGATGAGCGGCCCTGTTTGCAGACATCCTGCGGGGGGGTGGAGAGGAGCGGAGGGGCTCCGGGCGAGTAGAGGGGCTCCAGGGAGAGAGGGTATGGGGCAGCAGCCCTCAGATCCACCCCAGGGATCCTGCTCCCCAAACTCCAGGGGAGGAGCAGAGAGTGTTCCCTAGAGCCCAGCAACCCTGGTCACTGCCCTGCACACCCCCAACCCCTCAGCTGTGTTCAAGCGAGACCACCAGTGGCAACACCCACCTCTCCTCCCCCAGGGCCAGACCTGGCTCTGATCCTGCCACCTCCCTGCTGATCCCCAACCCAGGGAGCCCTGGGAAGGAGCCCTGCCTTCCAGCATCTGCCTCTGAGCTTACTGTCCTGCCCCACAGGCCTCATTCCACCCCCACACACCAGCTTCTAGGGGAGGGGCCCTAAGGGCAGCAGGACTGGGGGCCGCTCCTCTCTGCATCCTGGTCCTGCAGGCGCCATACAGCCAACGGTGGGATCTGTACAAGGCTGAGGGTGCCCAGGCCAGGGAACGTCACCACCACTGTGCTGCCCTGTGCTCTGTACTTGTGCCCCGAGAGAGCTCAGCCTTGGTGAGGTCCCCAGGAGGGCTGGGGGAGCCCCCATGTGGGACCAGGCGGCCCACCGATGCACTGGGAGGGAGCAGGCTTCCCCAGGCAAGCCCCAAAATGCCCCCACCAAGGCTGGCCCCATCTCCCAGCCCCAGCTCGCTGACTCATAAACCGAGGGTCGCTCCCCACGTGATGCTGCACTCAAGAGTGTTCTCAGCTCCTCTCCCCCTCCTCCAGCACCAGAGTGGGCTTCTGGGTTGCTGTCTGAAAGGTCCAATCTTCAGGGAGCTTCCAATGAGCAACAACGGCTCGTGTGAGTGTCCTCCACCAAGAGGGTGCCCCAGAGCCGGCAAAGCAGCTGAGTCTCTCAAGTGACCCCACCAGCACCAGGAGCCACCCACCGCCTCTTCGATGGCTAGGACCGGGTCCAGCACAGCTGCCGGCTCTAGGGGCCCTCTGCCTTCATACCCAGGTCTCCTCTAGCGAGAGCCTTGGCACCAGCGCCTCTCAGCTGGCGGTGCGTGCAGGAAGGAGAGAGCTGGGGTGAGTCCCAGGGCATCTGCATTTCACAGCTGCTTGTCTGCTGTGCTTGGGTGGGTCGTGTCCAGCAGCCCAGGCTCTGATGCCCGTTCAGGGAGCACACAGACACTCTGCGTGCATTCGGCCGGGGTGGGGATCGGAGTGGGCCCCAGACAAGCTGCGAGGCTCCAGGGTCCTTACTTCCCAGCAGGTTCCCACACAGGCTGTCATGCCCGAGGGGAGAGTGGCCAGTGGATGCCACTCCACCCACCCTCCTCCTCTAATGGGCCTTCAGAGTGGTCCTCCCGCCGCTATTACTACAATCAATTAAGGGGGTGAGAGCTGTCTTTCCTAATCGAATAGTAGCGTTTGTAGGTCAGGCATGAGCCCCCGGGGCCCTCGGGGTTGGTGGGGGTGGTGGAAGCGGACGGGGACAGAAGATAGACACAGGGACTGAGTGCTCAGCTTGCCTCCCTTTGTCAGCTCCACGGGGAGCCTCAGGCCTGGCCACTACCGATATTGGGACTTAGGTTAGAGAGGGCCAGGTCAGAGGCGTCACAGCAGGGCATGGGGCTGCAGGGGAGGGTCCCAGGGAAGGACCAGCAGATGGCCCTCTGGAGGTCAGCCCTGGTCACCAGTGCCCGGCCCGGCTGCCAAGCAGAGCCCTCATCTAACGCTGCCTCCAGCACAGCCTTGGGAAGGGCTGCCCCAGCTGTGCGATCGGGAAGGATGAGGCAGGTCTGGAGACCCTGCGGTGACCCGATAGTGATGCCATCAGTGACTCCAGGGTCTGAGTTCCCGGGGCTGACACTGTGGAGCAGCCCCCTGCCCTGGGTGGGGGACCCGGTGGTGACCCACGCAGCAGCTGCAGGTGAGCCTAGGAGGTGGAGGGTGAAGATGGAAGGCAGAGGGGCCTAGGGGCTGAGGCAAGAAGGGCTCTGGCCCAGTTCTCAGGGTCAGGCCGGCTGGAAGTGGTGAAGCATGGAAGGCGCTCTGGCCTGTAGGTCCCTCAGAGGGGCTGAGACCCACTGAGGTGGTGTGAGGCCCCATCTCTCAGCTGTGCCCAGCCCGCACTTCTGCCAGGCCCCTCGCGCCCACCTCGCCCCAGGCTGGACGCAGCCGCTGCAGACGCTCACTTGTTGTAAAGGACAATATCGGGCCGCCAGATGAGCTCCGAGGGGATTCGGATGGACGTGACGTTCTCGTAGTCAGCCGGGTCCCAGCGCAACTTGTAGTCATGCCACTCCTGGGGGATGGTGGATAGGGACACACTGCCACCTCTGACTCCTGCTCACCGTGAGGGGTGGGGGGAGGCCAGCAGTGCAGGGATGGTTGGCAGGGGGTGGGGGCGGGGGAGATGAAGCGTTGCATGAACGCTTTAGGCTCCTGTGACCACTGACAGTGAAAGGGGGGTTCTAGGGGCTGGTGGTGACAAGGGGACAGGGGCACAGAGATGGGGCTGGAGAGCTGGAGGGTCAGGGACGTGGCGACCCAGGAGAGGGCTCCGTCCGCACTCACCTGCTTCACCCACACATTGGTCGTCATCATCTGGTTCTTCTCGTCCTAGGGTTTGAGGAGAGGCAGAGGGTGAGAGTTCCTCTCTATGGGGGTCCATCCCTGCTGGCTTGGAGTTTACTACCCATGGTCCCAGGCTTGAGAGGGGGGGACTTTGGGATGGCCAGGGCTGGATACAGTGGGTGGTGACCAAAGGAAGGAGTGAGCTCTGCGTCTCGAAGCAACCAAGGACGAAGGCCCAAAGGGGACATGGGGACACTGTGCCCCAAGCATGAGACCAAAAGGGGCATACATGGCAGGATGGACTTTTCCAGAAGGAAAGCAAGAGCAAGGGCCAACTGACTGCCCAGGCAGCCCAGCTGAGGGCAGTCTGGGGGAAGGCGAAGGCACCACTGGCCCTGCCCTCCGATAACAGCTGTGGTGGGGGACCCTCTGCAGATGGGGCTCGGTGCGTGTGGATGGGGCTGAGGCCATGCTCCTCACAGGGCCCATCGGCAGGAGCTGGGCCTTGCTCTCTGTCAGCTCCACTCAAAGAACACGGGCACACATCCTCCGAGATCCCGTCCATCCCCTGCCCCGCACCCACCCTCCCCACTGCCTCTCCCCTTTATCTGAGGGACCAGTGGGTGAGGACCCGTCCTGACGGGGGTAACTGGTGCAGTCTGGGTCTTCTTCCCGTGGTGTGGAGCTGGGTAGAGGTCAGGGGGAAAGCCTCCGCCTGGGGGAGGTCGGGGGGCAGCCTGCAGGACAAGGGCCAGCGTCTTCATTAGGGCTGCTTCCCACCGTTTCCCCTACCAGCTTCCACATCGGGGACAAACAAGGCCCTTCAGGAAAGCCACTCAGAGAGACCCTCAGACAGTCAGGCCAGAGATCTGCACAGCATCTGGGCCAGGACTAGGGACTGGACACGTCTCTGTGTGTTTGCATGTGGGTGCATGTGCAGACAAGGGCATGTCTGTGCACTTGCATGTGTGCATGTATGTGTGTGGCCTCAGGGCCTCCCTCTCCTGGTCTCCCCTGTGGGCTAGCTCAGGGCAAGGAGACCATGTCCCAGAGCAGCTCATGCTCTGCCTTTGCTCCCAGTCACCAGCCACTGGCCACGTCACCTGCTGCCTGAACTGGGCTCCTCCTCAAGAAGACACCAAGGAGAGAGTGTGACTACAGAGCATGTGGCCTGGGCTGGGCACCACAGCCTTGCTCAGCTCAATCCTGTAGGTCCCTGGAAGTTCTGGGGGTAAGAACAGCCTCCCCACTCCCCAGGCTCCAGGCTCCAGGCTCCTCAGAACAAGCTTCAAGGCACAGGAATGGCCACCTTCCCTGAGATGCCTGTCCAACAGGTCCTTGAACCCTGCCAACCCACCTGTGTGGACACGTGCCCAGTACATGTCACTAGGACTCAGCATCGTGGAGACAGGGAGAGGGGTCCTTGCTTGGACACAGGGCCTGGGGATGGCATTTATATCTGTAGCTCCTACATGATCCCACAGACCACACCAGAGGGCTGGGCAGGAAAGTGAGGTGAAGGCTTCCAGTACCTGCCTCTGAGACACTGGTGGGCCCGACAGAGGGTGGCCAAGGAGAGCAGGCCTCCAACTCATCAATGTGGCCCAGGTCTCAGCCAGCACCCAATGTCATGCAGGGGCAGCTCCCAACAGGTTTATCATCTGGGGCTCCTCGAATGATGCAGACACAGAGGCTGTGTGCTTTCAGTGACAGACCTCTGTCCCCCTGAAGCACCTCTGTCCATATGCCATACCCCAGGCTCTCCTCTCCACCGTGGAAGCAATAATAGGATTTCCAGGGACACCACCGAATTCACTGCCCTCAACATACCAGAGCCAGGCAGGTAGCAGATGGTGCTTGTTAGTGTGCATGTGTGTGTACACTGTGTGCCACTCCATGCATTAGCGTGCACATGTGCATGTGTTACTATGCATGTGTGTGCACATGTGCACCAGTCCATGTGTTAGTGCACACATGTGCATCCATGTTAGTGTGCATGTGTAGGTGTGTGCACATGTGCACCAGTCCATGTGTTAGTGCACACATGTGCATCCATGTTAGTGTGCATGTGTAGATGTGTGTCAGCCCATGTTACTGTGCACATGTGTATGTTGGTGTCCATGTATGTGCACATGTCATTCCATGCATTAATGTGCACATATGCATGTGTTCATGCATGTGTGCAAGTCAATGCATCTGTGTGCACATGTGTGCATGTTAGTGTGCATGTATGTGCATATATGTTGCCCATGCATTAATGTGCACATATGCATGTGCTCATGCACATATGCAAGTCCATGCATCTGTGTGCACATGTATGCATGTTAGTGTGCATCTGTGCACATGTGTGCCAGTCCATGTGTTACTGTGCACATGTGCATCCATGTTAGTGTGCATGTGTGCACATGCACACCACCAGTCCACGGGTTAGTATGCACATGTGCACATTAATGTGCATGCATATGTACATGAGTGCCACTCACTTTTAGTGTCACACATGCATGCATGTTAGTGTGCATGTGTGTGTAAATGTGTGCCTATGTGTTAGAATGTACACATGCGTGCATGTTAGTGCATGTGTATTTGTGTCTGTGCACTTTTATGTGTGTTTGCATATACACATGTGTACACTGTGCATACGTGTTCACATATGCATGCCTGTACATGAGTGTGCACATTGGTGTGTGCATGTGCACCCTGAATGTGTGTATATGTCATCAACCATCTTTAATGCAGAAAGCAGAATGACTCCGCCCTTGTTTAGCTCTGCCGTGGGGTCTCAGCCAACCACTCCTCAGGGTCCTGGGGTCAGATGTGCTCTGGACCTCAGTCTCCTGGACAAACCAGGGTTCACTGGTGCAGGGAGTGGGCAGCCTGACGTGAGCTGGAGGTGGAGAGGCTGCAGTGGACAGACCCGGAACCTTGATTGGCAGCCGTACGCCTCCTCTGCCAGCAGCCAGTGTTTGCAAACCTCAGCAGAGTTTACTGAACCGTCCATCCCGGGCTGTCACTGGCTGTGCCCCAGTCAGAGCACTGACGGCAATGACCAGAGCCATGTTCCAGGAGGCCTGAGTGGAGGTCTGGGCCGGCTCTGGGAAACGGTGAGGACAGGGTTGACAGACGGGTCTTCATATCAGCTGAGCCCTCCCGTGTCCCTATAGGGGCCGAACAGGCTGCTGCACTGGTCCATCTGCTTGGCAGCTGCCAGGGGCCACCCAGAGAGCCCGACGTCAGCCTGGACCAAGGGCTTCTGGAAGGATGGGACCCTCTCCTCCCAAAGCAAGCCCGAGGCGCCTGGAATGGGGTCCTGGCAGAGTGTGTGGGTAAGCTTTTGGGAACCTCTGTGGGCCTCTGGAGCTGAACGAACCCCCTCCCCTGATGCAGGTTCCTCCCGGACCCAGTGAGCTGGGGTACAGCAGCAGATGCCCAGGCTGGCCTCCAGTGTGGAACACCCAAATCCGGCCAAGCTGGCCAGCCATCAGTCAGTCCCCCCGGCAAATGGCAGAGTGCAGTATGTCACTGCCCTTCCCCCAGCTGCCTCTAAATCACTCGGGCTCACTCCCTCTTTCCAGCCAGGCCAGAGCCTAGGCTCTGAGGCCAGGGCCTTGGGGTGCTACTGGAACCTCAGAGTAGGACCCTGTCCCAGGCTGTGCCCAGGCAGACCTACCCCGAAACAGGGCAGCCAGAGTGTTCCTGAAAAGTGGAACAGTGACCAGTGCCCACAGCTGGCCACTCCAGATCCCAGGACAGTCCAGTCTCGCTCCAGCTAACATCCCTGGGCTGGGCTCAGATTCACGTTGTGGCCCCAGTGTCCTGCAGCTGGTTCTCAGACCCAGGGACGTGGCCCAGGGCTTCTCCCCCGAAACCTCACCCAGGCTCTTGCCCTGTGTAGGTGCACATCCTAACCACGAAAGCAAATCACACTTCTGACCCACACCCAGACAGAGGCACAACAGGAGCTGCCTGTGACATCTCTGGGGCTTGGAGCCCTGTGGGGTTCCGTGGGGGTGCTGCCTCCACCCTGCCGGGTCAGCACCATTAGCACAAAAGCCCTGGCCCCAGCAACCAACAGCTGTCCCTTGGGGTGCTGACGTCAGCATTTTTTGCTCTTGGTTTCTGAAGGTGACAGTCCTGACCCATCATGACTGAACACCCAGGCCCCTTGAGCTTTTCCATCCTGAGAGGAGGGGAGGGCTGGGCCAATCCTGGCGGCTCAGGGAAGGCACATCCCTGGGGAATGGAAGCTGGGGCTCAGTAGGGTTGGGCCTCAGGCAGGGCCAGAGCCAGCAGCAGCGGGGTTGTCTCCTCAGCCCTGAGCTGGGGCACACACAGCCCAAGGCGAGGTGGTAACAGTGGCCTCTGCTCATCCACAGATGCCCTCCCAGCCCAGGCCACCTCGAGGCTGGCGTCCTTCTTGGGGGACACCACTCCCATAGGCAGAGGACCAGAGCCCCTCCCCTACACCTACCACGTCGATGAGCTGGGCGATGGACAGGCCGAAACGGACCAGGACCACGTCCGAGATGTTCGCCACAGGCCGAGACCACTTGTTGTAGCCCGAGAAGAGCTTCTTCAGCAGCCGCTCCTCGGCGTGGGCCCGGGTCTCCACGTGGCTGCTCGCTGGGGGCAGGCGTGGGCTCAGGCCAGGGCGGTGCTGGGCTTCCCCCTCCCCTCTTCCTCCACGCAGGCCGCCTGCCACTGGAGTTCTGCCCTGGTTTCCCCTACAGCTCCTTGACCTTAGTGTAACTTCCTCGGGGAAGTCTTCCAGACCCCTCAGCTGGGCCAGGCCTCCCTCACAGCCTGCACCACATCTCCCAGTGGTTGTTGTTGTTTGCCGTGGAGTCGGCCCCGACTCATAGCGACCCCTCCTTCGGTTTCCGAGGCAGTATCACTATGGAAGTAGATTGCCCCACCTTCCTTCCGAGGAGTGGCTGGTGGGTTTGAACCTCCAGCCTTCTGGTTAGCAGTCAAGTGCTGTAGCCACTATGCTACACATCTCCCAGTAGAAGGAGAAAGATAAGCGACCCTGGCCCCACTCCCTGAGGGCGGGGGCTCCCAGGGGCCATCTTAGACCCTGTGCCCCTTGACCCCCAGCGAGTCCCCCCCAACCTGTTATCTCTGGTCCCTCTCACAGGTGAGGGGCAGCCCACTGTCTGGGGAGAAGGGCGTGAAATGCCCTGCAACCCACCCAGAGGATGGGAGCTCAGGAGCAGGGGGAGCTGGCTGGCTATCCCGGAGAGCCTGGGGTGCAAGGGAGGTAGCAGGGCCCAGGGACCAAGCCTCCCTCCCTCCCTCTCAGCTGCGTGGGGAGCTGGCACCAGGTTAAGAGCCCCCTCTCCTGAGGTGCGAGGGAAGCGAGCACCAAGGGCAAGCCTCCTCCAACGTGGAGCAGGCATGAGGGAGGGGTCTGCACCAGATCTAGCTGGACGCGCGGAGGGCGAGGGACCCCGCCTCTGCCAAGTTTCGCAGACAAAACCCCCTCTACTGCCCACCCAAGTCCCCCTCCCCGCGTTCACAGCAGGGTTAACCCCTTCCTCTCTGGCTCAGCCTGGCCCCGCCGGAGGACAGCCAGTGCTTCTCGGGCAGGGAGGTCGCGGCCGCCCCGTTGCGCGCACCCGTGGCTTGGGACCATGGCCAGGAACCTTCCCTCCTCTGGCTCCGGGGATCCGGACAGCCCGCACCGGGAGAAAGGGGGCCCGCCAGAACCCCGGAACTTACCGGGCAGGAGGCTGGCCCCGAGAAGCAGCAGCAGCGCCGGCAGCGGCGGCGGCGCCCCGGGGCCCCGGAGCTCCATGGTGCTCCCAGCCTCTCTAGACGCGGGCGGCTCCCGGCTCCGCCGCGCCCCTGCTCCGAGGCCCGCGCGCGCCCAACTTCCAGCCCCAGCCCCGCGCCGGCCGCTCAGTCCCGCCCGCTCAGCTGCTCCTCCCGCGGAGCGCGGCGCTGGGACCAGAGCAACGCAGCAGTGGGCTCTGCGTCGCAGCCCCTCCTGGACGTGCGCCTCTAGCCTCTGAGGAGGAGAAGGGGGAGGGGAAGGAGGGAACGGGGAGGGGGGAGGGAGGTGGAAGAGGAGGGGAGGAGAGGGGAGGGGAGGGAGGGGGAGAGAGAGAGAGAGAGAGAGAGAGAAAGAGAGAGAGACAGGACCGGGCGGGCGGGGACGGACCACGCCAGGAGAGGGGCAAGGAGGCTGCGTTTGGCCTAATGCGGGCTAAAGTTTTGCACATTCTCCAGGGGCTGGGGACCTGCTCAGCGGGTATGGAGACCCTGTGGTGACTGCATACGACTGGGAATCCCAGGCTGCCTTGGTTCCCAGGTCACCAGACCCTGACCCCCCAACAGCAGTCTCCAGCCCAGGTCCAAGCTGCCTATCTGGAGGCAGGACACACACCCTGGGGCTTTGGCGGGTTACTCTCAGGCATGTGGTTGACTCCCTCACCCCCACCCTGCACGCTTGCAGTCTGAGGGTCTCCAGTCCCTGGTCTTCCTCAGCAGCCAGAGAGATGTTCAGGAAAGAGCCCCCCACTGTGGGCCTATCCTGGGAGGTCCCCAGGGAGCATCTGAGAGGAAGCCAGGCCCCACCTTGCCTTTCGAGGAGACTGTGGGGGAGGGGAAGGACCTTGGTGGCCCCTCTCCTGCCAAGGAAGCTGCATCTTGGTGCTCAGGGTCCAGCCAAAGTCAGGGTCTAGCCAGGCTGTGAGGCCTATGGGCTGTGTTGCCCTCCTTGGGGAGGTAGCACCCCCATCTGCACTCCATCAGCAACGGGGGCGATGGCAGAGGCTTGGCCATGGCCCTTCCTGAGGGGGGGCTCTGCCATCAGGTCCTGTGGAAGTGGCCGCTGTGCACACGGCAGGTCCTTGAAGGGGCCCAGAATGTCTGGGCTGAACAGGTCCAAGGGAGGGCGATGCATCTAGGCACAGACACACGTGGCGAGGGGAGCGCTGCCATCCCTGCACCCCTCTGCTGCAAGGAGCCAGATCCCCAAAAAACCCAGACCTCAGTTGGGGTGGGGAACAGAGGAGGGCCAGGGTCTCCTCTGGCTTTGGCTCCCTGAGTGCGCCAACAGCGACTTTCCCTGCTTGATGCCACCCCCTGCTGTGGGGGGAGCAGAATGTCCTCCAAACGCCCTGGGTCCAGTGCCCTCCCCACGACCACCCCCTAGGTTCCTGAGCCAAGTTAGTGTCATAGACTCTCAGGGGGTGGGAGGGAGCGCTCACCCTCCTCCTCCCCCAACAGCCCAGCCCTCAGGCAGTGTGGTTTCTGGTCCCTCCAGCTACATTGAGTCCCCTCCAAAGCCAGCTCTGCCAGGAGTTAGGAGGCTGGCCAGTGATTGGAGATGTGGATTGAACAGGCCCCACCCTTCACTGCCTTTGAGAGGCTGTGACCTGAAGGGGTGGGGAGGGAGGGGAAAGCTGCACAGCTGGGATGTGGCCAAGCCCACTGACCTCTGCACCTCTCTCAGGCTGGACAGAGCCTCAGGAAGGTTCCAAGCCTGGGTCTTCCCTCCCAACTCATGGAGCGAGGGCGACTCCGGTTGGAGAGGGTGCTCATGGTTTTGTTTTTATTGCCCATCTTACGAGAGCTCTGGTGGTGTAGTGGGTAAGACATTTGGCTGCTAACCAGAGGTTGGTGGTTCAAACCCACCAGCCACTCTGAGGGAGAATGAAGAGGCAATGTACATCTATAAAGATTTTTGGCCTTGGAGACCCAGTGGGGGTCACTATGAGTTGCCATCAACTCAATGGCAGTGAGTTTGGGGCTTTTTAAAATCTCAATGAGAAGCTCCTTCCTTTTTCACGGTACAGAGCCTTGGGTGGCAATTTGCAGAGCCGACCCCATGTTCTTTTACTACTCACAGGCCAGCGTGTTGCCCTGCGGAGTAGGGCTATTATCCCAGGGGTCTGTCACCTACTGACCAGGTGGCAAATGAGATGAGAAGCTCCTGGAGCCTCTCTGTTAGGTACCATCTCACTCTCAGGACCTCTTAGAGTAGTTCTCCTTGAGTGTGGTGCTGAAGTCAGGATAGGGATCTTCCTGGAGGAGGAGGCACACACACAGCCAGGGCCATGGACTCCACGCTGTTCAGATCAGTGCCCAGGGGGCTTGGGAGCTTGTTGAAACCTCAGATTCTAGAAATCCCTGTCTTAGTTTCTTGGGAAGCCATAGTGTAATACCACAAAGTGGGGTGCCATAGCACAATACTATAAAGTAGGGGGCTTAAAATGACAGAAATTTATTGTCTCGCAGCTCTAGAGGCCAGACATCTGAATTCAGGGTGTGGACAGGCCACAATCCCTTCAGAGGCTCTGGGGTAGGAGCCATCCTTGTTTCTGCCCTGGCAGCCCCAGGTGTTCTTGCAGAGTCACTCCAATCCCCACCTCCATTGTCACAGGCCTTTTCCCTGGGTCTGTGCGTGTCTCCTTTCCTCTTCTTCTAATGACACCACTGAGATGGACTCGGGCCACCCTGCTCCAGTACAACAACCTCATGTGGACTAGTTCCACCTACAAACCAAAACCAAACCCACCGCCATCAAGTTGGTCCTGACTCAGCAGCCCCTGCTGGGGCTCCAAGGCTGTAAATCTTTACCGAAGTAGACTGCCTCATCTTTCTCCCGTGGAGTGGCGGTGGGTTTGAACCACCAACCTTCTGGTTAGCAGCCAAATCCTTTACCCAGTACACCACCAGAGCTCCTAAATTCCATCTACAATGACCCTGTTTTCAAGCAAGCTCACGTTCACAGGTACAGGGCTGGGACCTAAACGTATCTTCTGGGGGACACTGTTCCATCTGTGACAATGACCCACCCTCAGGGACTGTTACCTGCAGGCAACTCTGGTACAAGGAGGACTCAGGTCTCCCACTGGGAACCCAGACTTGGAGCCAATTTGGCCCAAGAAGGTCAGGCCCAGCCCTTACCCGGGCTGCACAAGCCTGGTGGCCTGGCCCGGCCTGGGCAGTGCAGGAACCTGCCCCAAGGGTTCCTGTCTGCCTGTGAAGGTGCTGCGGGCATTTCTGAGGGCACCTCAGCAGCCTCGGTGGCCAGCCAGTCTCCCTCCTCCATTTTCCCCTTCAGTTTTCCAACAAGGACGATGACGTTGTGAGAGCTCTGGCCGGGCCCCGCCACTGAAGTCAGCTGCTGTCAGCGGTGCTTTCCCGCAGGTGAGTCCTCAGAGAGCCCGGGCCGGCCAGCAGGCCCATCTCTGGGTGCTGGAGGCAGCCGGTCAGTGCTGGGCTGGGGGATCCGTGTGCACGCCCTCACACACATCTGTGCAGCGGTGCCTGGCTGTCCCTGGGGATTTGCTAATGCAGCAAGATTAATCGGGTCTAACTCATTAATTTGCACAACACCCCCTCCACCTGCGCCTGGCTGGGAAGCAGTAGTTTCAGGAACCTAGCAATCACCATGGGCTTCTGAATCAGACTCTCACTCCAGGACCCTAGGACCCTCCCCCCACCGCTCCTGAAAAGGGCTGCTTTTCACAAGCCAGAGAGAGCAGGTTTGAGGAAAGAACTCGTGAGCCCCAAGTCCTGGAGCCTTTGGCTGGTAGCAACATCTACTGTCTCCTGTCCACCAGTGTGATGGGGGAGAGGAGTGGGAGGGAAGCAGGCCCCTTGCAGACCCTTCCCTGTCAATGTCACGGTGGACTCCAAAGGCAGCCCCTGGCTAGCATGACAATCACTGCTGTAGACCGCTGCTGAAGGGGACACTTTCCTCCCCCTCTCTTTGCCCTCTCCACCCTCCACCCTGTCCCAAGGACATTTCTATGGTAACCAACTGTTGGTGCAAACAGGGATTCTATCAAAGGTGGGAGCGTGGCCTGGTGCAGAGTCCAAGCTGCAGGAGTAGCGTAGGGGGACGGGGGGGGGGAGGAGGAGGAGAAGGGAAGGGAGGGACAGGAATCACTGTGGCTGTGGCTGAGGGAGGCAGGCGAGAAAGGCATTGCCAGGAGAGACCTCAATGCCAAGCAAGGGACTGTCAGCACCGGGATGCACATTCAGCCCTGGGGGCCTGCTAGTGGGCTTGGACAGCCTGGGGCACCAGTGCTCACTGGATACATCACCCCGAGTGGGCTCCTGACCCTCCAACCCTTCAGCCAGGCCTCACCCTCAGAGGGGAAGGAGAAGTCCATCCCCACTCTCCCCTGCCAGGACCACTCCCACCCAGGTGACATTGGCCTGGTGGGCCTCCATTTCCTCCCAGGGATGGCCAATGCCCAGTGCTGCTTTATCAATAAACTTTCCAGACGTTTCTTAACACCTCCCTTAACACACACACACACACACACACACACACACTTCTGTCTTATACTCATGTTTTTTCTTCCAGTACATTGACCATTGGTCATCATATATGTCCTCTATTGGCCTCTTCCCCATAGTAATGAAAGACCATGTGGAGGGGATCTAGTCTTCAATCACAATGCCTGGTTCTTAGTGGGGGTTCAATAGATGTATTGAATGTGTGTATGGATGAATGGATGGATGGATGGAGGGAAGGATGGAAGGATGGATAGATGGATGGGTGGATAGGTGAATGCATGGATGAGTGAGTGGGAGGCTCTGTGCTTTGTTCATGATACCTGTCAACTTAGTCGGGGCTGGGTAGGTATGCTGAGTGGATGGATGGATGTGTGGGTGGGTGGATGGCTGGATGAATGGAAGAGTGACTGACTGGGGGCACCAGGTACAGAGTAGAGCCTTGTCCTACTATATACCAGCCCCTACCTCTTGCCTGGACTTTGACACTCAAGCTGAGAAAATATACTGGTTTGGGATTGGGCCTGGGCTTTAGGACAG